TAGGCGCAAGTGCCTTCGTAAAGATATCAGCTGTGTTGGCACCTGAGGCCAAGTGAACTACGTGGGCCTGGCGGGGCTGCTGTAACTCGCGCAGGAGGAAGTACCGCAACTAGATATGCTTTGCTCTGCCCTCAAGCCGAGGCTCCTGACACAGGAGTATCATGGCCCTGTTGTCAGCGTACAGGACCGGGGCAGAGCTAAGCCACTCACCTAAGTCAGTGAGCAAGAAGGTCAGTCTGCGGAGCTTCTGTGCCGCCATGGCACAGGCGTAGATCTCAGCCTCACAGCTGGACTGTACCACAGACGACGAGCGAGTGGATCTCCAAGAGATAGCACCCGAACCAAGGCTAAAACAGTAGCCCTGCGACGACCTAAGCGTCTCAGAGTCGTCTGCCCAAGAAGCATCTGTGTGCCCAGTAAGGACCACTGGCCTGCGTCCTCCTAGCACTAACCCCATGCCCGATGTACTAGCAAGATAACGCAAAACCCTCTTAGCGGCAGCCCAGTGCTGAGGTCGGTGTCTGCCTGTAGCCACAAGTCGAGCCAGGATGCTGAGAGGGTATGCGAGATCTGGGCGAGTGCAAGTCATCAGGTACATGAGGCAACCCACCAGCTCTGCGTAGGGGCCACTGGGCTCTACTGGCTCCTCAGGAAAGGGAGCGGAGAGCCCATGGTCTACAGGTAGAGGTGTGGGCTGTCAGGGAGGACAACCGACGGGAGGGGAGTGACGTGAGAGACACCGAACGGGGCAGGGCGAGGTGGGAGAGGAGCAGGGGCTACCGGGGGAGAGGGAACAAGGAACAGGGGCGGGGCAACCAGGAGACCGCAGTGAGGGAAGCGGCGGTAGAAGAAGACAGACTCGTCAAAGGTGACGTCACGAGAGTGGAGGAAGCGGTGAGACGGCGGGTGGTAGAAAAGCCAGTCAGACGAGTCCAGGGGGAAACCGAGGAAGACATAGGGGACAGTGCGGGCAGTAAGCTTGTCCGTGCCAGAGGCACGAACGTGAGCAAGGCAGCCCCAGACGTGGAACGCAGACGCGTCACCCGGGGACCCGGTCCAAAGGAGGGTCGGCGAAACCTGCGGCCGCTGGGAGCGTGGAAATAAGTTAAGCTGGTGAGCAGCGTAGCGAACAGCGAACGGCCACAGAAAATGGGGGGGCATCGGCATGAATCATGGAGGTACGGGCGACCTCCATGACCAAGCCGATGCGGCGCTCAGCAACCCCATTTTGTTGTGGCGAGTCCGGCAAGGTGTACGACTGGGTGATGCCCTCCGCACGACAGAACTGTCCAAGCCGACCAGAGGCGAACTCGTCGCCACGGTCAGAGTGGAGACACAACACGGGAAGACCGCGGTGAAGACGCGCAGCCACAACCCACGGGAGAAGAACGTCGGGCACGTCGGCCTTCCGCTCCAAGGGAATCACCGTGGTGTAGCGTGTGTAGTCGTCGACGAGCACAAGGAAGTAGCGCTCACCTCGCGGTCCGGGGACGGAGGCAGGGCCCCAAACGTCCAGGTGCAGGGTCTGAAGGGGGGCAGTTGCAGGTCGCAGCGAGGAGGAGTGAGGAGCATGGCAGAGCCGGCCCTCGACGCAAGGCGTGCACGGTGGCGCAGTCGAGGGAGGAAGGGCAGGGAGCGATGCAGGGAGACCAAAGACAAGACCGTGCTGGGACATGTGACGCAGACGTGGGAGAGCAGGGTGACCTACGCGGTGGTGCCAGAGAAGGGACGGGTGAGTGAGGGACCAACACGAGCAAGCTGCAGCGACCTCGGAGGACGCACCAACCGGGGGGGAAGCGGTGTCGAGGGTAAACAGACTGGACACCGGGTCTCGGGGGAACGTCGCAAGGGGTGAACCTGACACAGCCTCAGAACAGACAGCGAACCGCTCGTGCCCGGGGAACGTGGTGGTGACGCCGAGGTCCTGGAGACAGCCGACACCAACCAGGTTCCTCGAGAACGAGGGAACGTGGAGGCCTGTAAGGGAGCCCGAGGGAACAGCTGGAAAGGGAAGGGACGTGGAGCTGCGAGCGACGACAGGACCCGCAGAGGGGTCAGCGAGAGAGACAACAGCAGGCGTAGCAAGCGGCGTGAGCGCGGAACGGTCGCGGAAGAAGCAGGCAGAAGCACCGAAGTCGAGAGTGAAGGACAGCGAAGCTGTGGCGGAGGCCGGGAACAGAGCCGGTGCAGAGACTAGGCTAGGCAAACTAGGCAGTCCTACGCCTGACGCAGCAGGGGAGGCTAAGCTACACAACGGTGCAACAAGGCGGGCTAGGCGGGCGCGACAGGGCCAGGCAGGGCGCGACGGGGCCTAGCGGGCGCGACGGGTCCCAGGAGGCGGCGGAAACAGCAGGCGGTCGGGTGCGGGCGGCGGCACAGCGTGCCGCAAAGAGGCCCGGTCTGAAGCTGGTACTGGCAAGTGACAGCACCGGAGCCGCCGGTAGACACCGAGCTGCGCAGGCCGCCACCACGGCCACCACCTCCGGAGGTGCCGAGCCAACCAGGCGGGAGAGGGGCCCACGGCTGCGGCGACTGCTGCTGGGACAACGGCTGCTGCTGGGGCTACTCCTGCTGCGGCTGGGGCTGCTGCTCCTGCCCACCGGTGGTAGTCCCCTCAGGTGGAGTACCGTCACCACCACCACGACCACCACCACCTGCGCCACCACCCCTACCTCCCTGGCGACCACGGCCACTACGGCGCAAGCGTTGCTGTGGGTGGACCGCAGCAGCCGTCTCGGTGAGAGGGGTCGCCGTGGCGACCGCAGCCGAAACGTCAGTGAGCGTGCACTGGGAGGGGGCACAGCCGTGAAAGATAGAGACTGCCGGCGCACCGCTCGACTGAGCGATAGTGCGCTGGCGAGTCTCGATCTTGGTGAGGGTGTCGATAAAGGCGGTGAGGGTGAGGTCACCCGGGTGCTGGCTAAGGAAGTGATCGCGAGCACTAGCGAGGCGGTCTGGCAGTCGCATGGCGATAAAATAGAGCATCATGCAAAAAGGGGGGGGGGAGCGCAGTGAGTTGGGCAGCAGTGCTGGCAGTGCGATAGCGGGTCTCTAGGGCACGCAGGTGAATGGCAAAGTCTACGACGGTAGGGAAGGCTGCAAGGTCTGGGAACAGCATCGGGAAGAGCAAGCGGCCAGCAGAAACAGACGCGGGTGTGGAATAGCGAGCAATAACGGCGTCTAAGTAAGCTTTGGCCGTCTCAATAGTAGCAAAACGCGAGCGCTCAGACATAGGGAGGGCGTGGCTAATAGCAACCTGAGCGACTGCATCGCGGGAGTCCCAAACTGCACAGGCAAGCGCAGCAGTAGAGAAGGTCTCACGGTCATCAGAGGAGGGGTCAGCAGGGAGGGGAGCAGGTGCGGGGGGGCGGGGGAGCAAGCCATCGACATGGACAACCAAAGAGTGGCCATCATGGCGCTGACCTGTAAGGTGGCGGCGGAGATCGAAGAGCCAGGCGGCGAAGTCAACCGCATGGCCCTCGGCGTCCAGTCGGAGCACGAAGTCAACCATCGTGCAGGGTCAGCGGCACAGCTCCACAGCTCCGCAGGGACAGAGTGACGCAGGGACACGGCGGCAGCACTCCTCAGCACGGCGGCCGCGAGGCGCCCCGGCGCTGGCGAGCAGAGAAGACGGAGCTCGAGGCAGGCGCGGCGGGGCCAGGCAGGCGCGGCGGGGCCAGGCAGGCGCGGCGGGGCCAGGGAGGCGCGGCGGGGCCAGGCAGGCGCAGCGGGGCCAGGCAGGCGCGGCGAGGCCAGGGAGGCGCGGCGGGGCCAGGCAGGCGCGGCAGGGCCATGCAGGCGCGGAGGGGCCAGGCAGGCGCGACGGGGCCAGGCAGGCCACGACGGGGCCAGGCGGGCGCGACGGGGCCAGGTAGGGCGCGACGGGGCCTAGCGGGCGCGACGGGGCCAGGCAGGGCGTGACGGGGCCGGAGCGGGCGCGACGGGGCCTAGGAGGCACGACGGGGCCCAGGAGGGGCGCGACGGGGCTAGGAGGCGCGGCGGGGCCCAGGAGGGGCGCGACGGGGCTAGGAGGCACGACGGGGCCCAGGAGGGGCGAGACGAGGCTAGGAGGCGCGACGGTGCCCAGGAGGGGCACGACGGGGCTAGGCGGGCGCGACAGGGCCAGGCAGGGCGCGACGGGGCCTAGCGGGCGCGACGGGTCCCAGGAGGCGCGCGACGGGGATAGGAGGCACGACAGGGCCCAGGAGGGGCGCGACGGGGCTAGGAGGCTCGGCGGGGCCCAGGAGGGGCGCGACGGGGCTAGGAGGCGCGACGGGGCCCAGGAGGGGCACGGCGGGGCCAGGCGGGCGCGACGGGGCAAGGCAGGGCGCGACGGGGCCTAGGAGGCACGACCGGGCCCAGGAGGGGCGCGACGGGGCTAGGAGGCGCGGCGGGGCCCAGGAGGGACGCGACGGGGCTAGGAGGCGCGACGGGGCCCAGGAGGGGCACGGCGGGGCCAGGTGGGCGCGACGGGGCTACAGTAGCTAGGGTACGGGCGGAAGCGGTAGGTGGGGGATTCTAACCTACGCGTGATACCATGTTAAAGTAAGAACTAAATGATGAACTAGAAGGAGAAACCTAGAACAAATAATAGTTGGTTGTACTCACTAGAAGCTTACCCCAGTCTAGCCTATAACTTCTACATAGCTAATATGTACAAGTTGACACCCCCCCCCCCCCGTCTTGCCCATGGTCCCACCCGGCAGACCCACCTCTCACGACCACCCAGTGCCCCTTGCTTTCACCTTCCTCCTTTGCAGGCAGCCTCAGAGCCCAGCTCGCTGCCATGTCCGGCGCTAAGAATGGGACATCGGTTTGAGGGTGGGATTGTGGCTGCTGCTTCATAAATTGTGGTGCATGTGTTTGCTGGTTGCGCATGTGTGTGGATGTGGTGAGGATCTGCCTGCGAGTGCCGCGCATCACATGTGTTTGATGCTCCGAGCGTATGCGATGCCCCCTAAACCATGTTCATATAGAATTCTGTCGCTTTTTTCATGCACTTGGTGGGTCCAACTTTATTATATAAAACAACGACAATGAGCACACTGGACACAGACCTAGTTCCTTGTAACCTTTATTTATAGGGTGCACTCTTCCCGAATTTCTACAACCATCATGCCTCATAACTCCAACAGCCCACCCAACGACCAACCACCAAAGTTGCACCCAGTGCAACTTGTGGAAGTCGGATAAACAAGCGAGACGAGTGCGGGATGGCATTGACCTGGAGGATAGAGCGGGGGAGTTGCGTGCGAGGCATGACATGTAAGTGCGGCACCATAAAGGGGCCAGAGGTTCACCCTGTGCAATAGGGTTGGAGGCAGCGTGGTGAATGGGAGGAAAGCACGAGAGTGCTGCTGCAATAGGATGGTGCAGCAGGGGTGGGATGCAGCAAGAGAGGGGATGCAGCAGGGGAGGGATGCAGCAAGAGAGGGGATGCAGCAGGGGGGGGATGCAGCATGGGGTGGGATGCAGCATGGGGTGGGATGCAGCATGGGGTAGGATACAGCATGGGGTGAGGCGCAGCATGGGGTGGGATGCAGCATGGGGGGGGATGAAGCATGCAGTGGGGATGATGCATGAGGTGGGGATGAAGCATGGGAGACGGGGAGGGAGCATGGGAGAAGGGGGGTGAGCATGGGAGAGGGGGTTAGGGCATGGGAGAAGGGGGGTGAGCATGGGAGAGGGGGAGGGAGCATGGGAGAAGGGGGGTGAGCATGAGAGATGCGGAGGGAGCATGGGAGAAGAGGGGTGATCATGGGAGACGGGGAGGGAGCATGGGAGAAGGGGGTAAGCATGGGAGACGGGGTGAGGGCACGGGGGAAGGGGAGTGAGCATGGGAGACGGGGAGGGAGCATGGGAGAAGAGGAGGGAGCATGGGAGAAGGGGGGTGAGCCTGGGAGAGGGGGTTAGGGCATAGGAGAAGAGGGGTGAGCATGAGATAGGGGGAGGGAGCATGGGAGAACGGGGTAAGCATGGGGGTGAGGGCACGGGGGAAGGGGAGTGAGCATGGGAGACGGGGAGGGAGCATGGGAGAAGGGGAGGGAGCATTAGAGAAGAGGGGTGAGCATGGGAGATGGGGAGGGAGCATGGGGGAAGGGGGGTGAGCATGGGAGACGGGGTGTGAGCATGGGCAAAGGGGGTAGGGGATGGGAGAGGGGGAGGGAGCATGGGAGAAGGGGGGTGATCATGGGAGACAGGGAGGGAGCATGGGAGAAGGGGGGTAAGCATGGGAGACAGGGTGAGGGCATGGGGGAAGGGGAGTGAGCATGGGAGACGGGGAGGGAGCATGGGAGAAGAGGAGGGAGCATGGGAGAAGGGAGTGAGCATGGGAGAGGGGGTTTGGGCATGGGAGAAGAGGGGTGATCATGGGAGACGGGGAGGGAGCATGGGAGAACGGGGGTAAGCATGGGAGACGGGGTGAGGGCACGGGGGAAGGGGAGTGAGCATGGGAGACGGGGAGGGAGCATGAGAGAAGGGGAGGGAGCATGGGAGAAGGGGGGTGAACATGGGAGACGGGGAGGGAGCATGGGGGAAGGGGGGTGAGCATGGGAGACGGGTTGTGAGCATGGGCGAAGGGGGTAGGGGATGGGAGAGGGGGAGGGAGCATGGGAGAAGGGGGGTGATCATGGGAGACGGGGAGGGAGCATGGAAGAAGGGGGGTGAGCATGGCAGACGGGGAGAGAGTATGGGAGAAGGGTGAGCATGGGAGACGGGGTGAGAGCATGGGCGAAGGGGGGAGGGGATGGGAGAAGGGGAGGGAGTATGGGAGAAGGGGGGTAAGCATGGGAGACGGGGTGAGGGCACAGGTTGAGGGCACGGGGGACGGGGGGTGAGCATGGGAGACGGGGAGGGAGCACGGGAGACGGGGGGTGAGCATGGGAGACGGGGAGCGATCCTGGTAGTAGGGGGTTGAGCATGGGAGACGGGGAGCGATCCCGGGAGTAGGGGGGTGAGCATGGGAGAGGGGGAGGGAGCATGGGAGAAGGGGGGTAAGCATGGGAGACGGGGTGAGGGCAAGGGGTGAGGGCAAGGGGTGAGGGCATGGGGGAAGGGGGGTGAGCATGGGAGACGGGGAGGGAGCATGGGAGACGGGGAGGGAGCATGGGAGACGGGGAGGGAGCATGGGAGACGGAGAGGGAGCATGGGAGACGAAGGGTGAGAATGGGAAAAGGGGGTGGGATGCAGCAGGGGAAGAGGCGAGCAGGAGAGCGGGAACGTGGGAGAGCGGGAGAGTGGGAGAGTGGGAGAGCAGGAGAACGGGAGATTGGGAGTGCGGGCGAGCGGGAGTTCAGGAGCGCGGGCGAACGGGAGAGCGGGAGCGCTGGAGAGCGGGAGAGCAGGAGAGCGGGAGAGCGGGAGAGCGGGAGAGTGGGAGAGCGGGAGCATGGGCGAGCGGGAGAGCGGGAGAGCGGGAGAGCGGGAGAGCGGGAGAGCGGGAGAGCAGGAGCGCGGGAGAGCGGGAAAGTGGGAGCGCGGGCGAGAGGGAGACCGGAAGAGCGGGAGTGCGGGAGAGCGGGAGCGCGGGCGAGCGGGAGAGCGGGAGAGCAGGAGAGCGGGAGAGCGGGAGAGCGGAAGAGAGTTCGTGGAATGGAGTGGAGCTTGGCGCTGGCAGGCAGGGCTGCGTGGGCGATTCCTAGTGGCCCTTGCATGGCGTGCGGTTGGGAGCGGGCTAGGCACGAGGTGCGGAAGGGATAGGCATGGGTTGGGCGAGGACCCTGCCCATAACGGATTGGCGCGTGGTTGACAAACGCGATACGTGTTTCGCGTGCGAGGTGTTGGGCGGCGCTGCTGAATAACCGAGTGTGGTTCTCGCCTCTCCCAATCGCACATTTTTTTGCGACGCCGCGGCGTGGGCATGGGAATGGCTTGGCGGGAATGGCGGGGCACTGCGTCATGGACTAGGAGTGCATAATAGTGTCCAAGGGACTTAGCATCTTGGTGGGTTGGTGGGATGTTTTGCTGTAGGGAGACCACCTGCGTCGTATGGCTGTCACTCGGCCAATAAGTGATTTGCCAGCCAAGTCCCGACAGGGTTACCAGGTTTCCTTGGTTTTGACGTAGTGTTGGTTCGCCACTAGGCAGGTTCAAAATCCTTTGAACCTTGAAGTTATTGTATACTTTCACTTTAAAGCGAGGGTCTCAAAACCCCCGAACTAAAAAACTTAGGTTTTGAGAAAGGGGTGGGCGAAATTCGTGAGAGTCACAAAACACAGCAAAGATAGCGGGTTGGACGCGAAGGGCAATGAAGGTCTCGCGAACAAAGCCCCACCTCGCCAGGCATGAGCAGTATCGCCAGCCCTCGCGTGCGAGACGTTTTGCCCAGCTCACGCCACCACATCCTATGCCAAAAAGGACTGCACCAAAAAGCACAAGCTTGCGCGGTGTGCTAAAAGAAACAGTGAAAAACCTGGCGATGCGAAATCTACTAAATAAAACAAAGGACAAGCATGTTATTATCCTACCAAGAAGCAATCATGCATATTGCATGGGAAAAAATGGAGGTCACACTCCCTCCCATCGGGTGGAGGGGAAATGGAAGGAGTATGGAAGCAAGGGATGACGGGGAGATGGGCAGAGAGAGAGAGAGAGAGAGAGAGAGAGAGAGAGAGAGAGAGAGAGAGAGAGAGAGAGAGAGAGAGAGAGAGAGAGAGAGAGAGAGAGAGAGAGAGAGAGAGAGAGCGAGACGAGCACAAGAGACATTGTGAGCATGAATGCAGGGGGGAGGGGAGCAAGGTATGGTACTCAGGTTCTGAGTGGAAGGGGGTTGGGGATTAGGGGGAGTAGGTGGAAGGAGGTGAAGGTGCAAGGAGGGTAACGGAAGCGCACCCAAAGGTCATGTCTCTTGGGCAGCCTCGCCCGCCCTGAAACCAACAAAATGGGGATGAGAAGGGAATCAGGGATAGGAAAGGGAGGAAATGGAGGGCATGAGGGGGAGGAACAAAGAAGAGGGGGTGAGAGTTGGAGCAGGGACGAGGAACGAAAGCAGGGGGAGATTGGGAGGGGGAGCAATGAAGCAGGGGGAGAATCGGAGGGGGAGCCATGAAAGCAGGGGGAGAATGGGAGGGGGAGTATTGAGAGCAGGGGGAGAATGGGAGGGGGAGCAATGAAAGCAGGGGAAGAATGGGAGGGGGCGTATTGAGAGCAGGGGAAGAATGGCAGGGGGAGCAATGAAAGCAGGGGGAGAATGGGAGGGGGAGTATTGACAGCAGGGGGAGAATGGGAGGGGGAGCAATGAAGCAGGGGGGAAATGGGAGGGGGAGCCATGAAAGCAGGGGGAGAATGGGAGGTGGAGTATTGAGAGCAGGGGGAGAATGGGAGGGAGAGTATTGAGAGCAGGGGGAGAATGGGAGGGGGAGCAATGAAAGCAGGGGGAGAATGGGAGGGGGAGTATTGAGAGCAGGGGGAGAATGGGAGGGGGAGCAATTAAAGCAGGGGGGGGAATGGGAGGGGGAGTATTGAGAGCAGGGGGAGACTGGGAGGGGGAGTATTGAGAGCAGGGGGAGAATGGGAGGGGGAGCAATGAAATCAGGGGGAGAATGGGAGGGGGAGTGTTGAGAGCAGAGGGAGAATGGGAGGGGGAGTATAGGGAGCAGGGGGCGAATGGGAAGGGGAGCAATGAAAGCAGGGGGAGAATGGGAGAGGGAGTCATGAAGCAAGGGGAGGGGGGTAGGATAGGGGGGGAAGGAGAAGAGGGAGATGATGGGAGCAGGGGGGAGCAACCAAAGCTGGGGGGGGGTGGATGGGTGTAGGGAGCAGACGGGCAGTCAAGGGTTCAGGGGGGAAGAAGAGAGGGGGAAAGGGAGAGGAGGAGAGGGGGACAGGGAGAGGAAGAGAGGGGGAGACGCTGGGATTGAGGGCAATGAGAGGGGCATGGAAGGGTGCAAACTTCGCCCTCACTCTCTCTGCCTTTTTCGAGTTGAAGGCTGCCAGCTCCTGCAGGGAAGGAGGGTGGTTGGTTGAGGGAGGGCGATGGGAACGAGGGAAAGGCATGGGTGCTGGGGGCGAGCATGAGTGCAGGGGAAAAGGTCCTCTCTCTTTCCCCCTCACGTCCTCTCTTTTTCTCCCTCCCGTCCTCTCCCTTTCCCCCTCGCGTCCTCTCTTTTTCCCCCTCCCGTCCTCTCCCTTTTCCCCTCGCGTCCTCTCTCTTTCCCCCTCTTGTCCTCTCCCTTTCCCCTTCGCATCATCTCTCCTTCCCCCTCCCATCCTCTCCCTTTCCCCCTTGCCTCCTCTCTCTTTCTCCCTCTCGTCTTATCCCCATCCCCCTCCCGTCCTCTCCTCATTCCCCTCCAGTCCTCTCCCCATTTTCCTCTCGCATTCTCAACATCCCCCTCGATCTGTAATATCCCCATCCCCCTCTCGTCCTCTCCCCACCTCCCTCTCGTCTTGTCTCCATCCCCCTCCCGTCCTCTCCTCATCCCCCTCCCGTCCTCTCCCCATCTCCCTCTCGTCTTATCTCCATCCCCCTCCTGTCCTCTCCCCATCCCCTGCTCGTTCTCTCCACTTCCGCCTCTCGTTCTCTCCCCATCCGCCTCTCGTTCTCTCCAAAACGTCTCGTTTCATCCCCTCCCCCCCCCCCCCAGTTCTCTCCCCATCCCCCTCTTTTCCTCTCCCCATTCCCCTCTCGTCCTCTCCTCTTCCCCCTGTCGTCTAATCCCCATCCCCACCCCGTCCTCTACCCATCCCCCTCCCGTCTTTTTCCCATCCGCCTCCCGTCCTCTCCCCATTTCCCTCCCCTCCAAACCCCCATACTGCTCTCGTCGTCCCCTCATCCCCGCCCAGGCCTCTTCTCTTCCCCCTCCCGTTCTCTCCCCATCCCCTTCTCGTATTATGTCCTTCTTCCTCGCATCCGTCCACTCCTGATCCCCCTCCTGTCCTCCCCTCATCCTCCTCTCGCCTTATCCCTTTCCCCCACACATTCTTTCTCCCTCCCCATCCCCTTTGGTCCCCTCCCCATCCCCCTCTCGCCCCCCACCAATCCCCGTCTTACACGTGCTTTTTACTTGAGCGGTCGGAGGGTCGACGCTCGGCGCGGAGGTAGGCGGGCGGTGACTGGCAGTCGGCGTGAGGGGATGGCGTCCGCAGTCGTGGCGGGCATGAAGAGAGAGGCGCCTCTCCGCTTCAGCCCCCATTTTGTAACGCACTAGAGCAAGGCGTGGCTTGCATTCTGACGATGGGGACGCGGCGCTTCCCGATTGCCCGGGCCAATCGGAATGTACGAAAAGGAAAGAGTGTGCGCGAGATGCGTGGTACTAGCACCGGGTGGGAGCGGCTAGCGCTCATGTCCAGCATCGCTGCTATTGGCTCCATGCTAGCAGTGGTGATGGGACACGTTGGCGGGACTCTGTGGCGTGATAGGGCTTTGGCGGATGGTTAGAGGCGCACGCATGCCGAGTTTCGCTAGCTGCTCTAGAAGCAGCGAGTTGGACAGGGAGGATTGTCTCCAAGTAACGAATAAACTAGAAAGGAGAGGAGACGGTGGTTTTGTGCTAGTATGTTATACTCTTTAAGAGCATGCACCAATCTAGCCTAATAACATATAAATATATGTTTGACACACCCCCTAGGCTAGACAAGTGCCTGGCAAGAGACACGCAGCTTAGGGTGGCACTACTAGTCCAACCTCTGAGGCAAGGGTCCGAAGACCAGTCAGAAGAGTACAAAATGAAACAAGAGCAAACCAGGGCAGCACTGATCGTTCGTCCACTGGAACAGAAGCCATAAGGCCAGTCAGGAGAATATATAAAAGAGTAGTACACAATCAAGGTCCTAGCAAGTAAGAAGCTACTAGAACTAGACCAAGCTGTACTTACTGCAGCTGATGATCTTTAGGCGCAAGCGCCTTAGTAAAGATATCAGCGGTGTTGGCACCAGAGGCCAAGTGAACTACGCAGGTCTGGCGTCGATGCTGTAGCTCGCACAGGAGGAAGTAGCGCAGCTGGATGTGCTTCGCTCTGCCCTCGAGTCGAGGCTCCTCCCACAGGAGGATCATGGCCCTGTTGTTAGGGCACAGGACCGGGGCAGAGCTAGGCCGCTCACCTAAGTCTGTGAGCAAGAAAGTCAGCTAGCGGAGCTCGTGTGCTGCCATGGCACCGGCGTAGATCTCAATCTCACAGCTAGACAGTGCAACAGTCGACGAGCGGGTGGACCTCCACGCGATAGCCCTGAGAGGACCTGAGCGTCTCATCATCGTTTGCCCACAAAGCGTCTGTGTGCCCTGTAAGGACCACTGGCCTGCATCCTCCTAGCACTAGCCCTATGCTCGATGTACTTGCTAGATAACACAAAACCCTCTTAGCATCCGACCAGTGTAGTGGTCGGTGTCTGCCTGTCGCCACAAAGCGAGCCAGGATGCTGAGAGAATAAGCAAGATCTGGACGAATGCAAGTCAACGGGTACATGAGGCAACCCACCAGATCTGCATACAGACCACTAGGCTCTTCTGACTCCTCAGGAACTGGAGCTGAGAACCTGCGATCTACTGGTAGAGGTGTGGGCTGGGCAGAGGAGAACTGAAGACCGAACCTCTGAAGGACCTGGGGCACCAAGTATGACTGTGTGAGAGTGATGGTGCGTGTTGCTCTATCCCTGGAGATCTGCAAGCCAAAGTAGCGACACAACTCTCCTAGGTTAGTGCAGATGTGTCTCCTCAGCAGCTCAACCTTCACGGAGGCCAGTGCGTCTCTGTCTGCAGTAGGAAAGACCAGGTCATCTACATAGATAAGGATGTAGAATGGGGTATGGCCTGAACAGACGAAGAACGAAGGGTCTGCGGAGGACGGGAAGAACTGCAGGTCTGCTAACATAGCACACAGCATGTCGTGCCACTCACGGGGCGCCTGCCGCAGGCCGTAAACCGGGCGCCAAAGAAGCCACTCGGTTCCAGGGGCGAAGGTGCTGGTGAAGCCTGGCGGACGGCGCAGGTAGACCTGCTCGTGCAGACTGCCCCAGAGAAGCGCTGTAGAGAAGTCGAGGGAGTGCAACTCGTAGTCACGTTGTGCTGCTACGCGTAGCAGCGCCCGAAGAGTAGTCATCTTCAGGGTCGGGGCGAAGGTCTGAAAGAACTCAACACCCTCGCGTTGACTGAAGCCTCTAGCAATGTAGCGCGCCTTGAACATTGGCGGCTCTCAAGGAGGGCGCTTCACCTTGAAGAGCCACCGACCATCGTCTACGTTCACCCCAGGTGGGGGAGCTGCGTCGACGTATGTGCTGGTGGATCTCCAAGGTGCCACCTCCGCATCCATGGCAGCTATTCACTGAGAGGCCGAGGGTTCCGAGGTCGCCTCAGCGTAAGTACGAGGGGTCGGGATATCAAGGGCGTCTGGGCGTCCGGGGACGAGTCCGTCGGAGGAAACACAGGACCGTAAATAAGCGGGGGAGGCGCAGATGGGCGGTCGGGGGACGGAAGGCCTAGGATGCGAAGGGCGGACACCGGCGGCGATTGCTGCTGCTGCTCCACGTCGGCATTAGAACTGCCAGCTACAACACGGCTACCTCTGGGACGCTCCACGACAGCACCCCAAGAACGAGAACACTCTCCAGCACCGGTGCCACCCCTTGGACTGCTCGGACAAGTTACAACAGTATCCTCAGGACTAGCACCCCCAGTACAAGAACCCTCTCCACCACCGGTGCCACCCCTAGGGACGTCGGGACAAGCCTCGATAGTACCCCCACGACTACCACCCTTCTCAAGAGTTGCTGACCCCTGCAGCGGACCCCCAGAGTTGCGGACCTGTGCGGCGGCTGCGGCTGTAGTGGCGGCGACTGCGGCTGCTGCGCTAGCTGTGACGGAGGCGACGACGGCTGCTACTGCGGTGGTGACGTCGGCTACGGCTGCGGCGGTGGAGGAGGAGACACCGGGGCAGAGACTGGCGGCGACGCGGGCCCCCAAAGTCAGCCAACTCCTGTACCGCGACAACCGGCAGGAGGGGAGTGACGTGAGACACAACCGACGGGGCAGGACGTGGAGGGAGAGGAGCAGGGGCTACCCGGGGAGTGGGGACCAGGAACAAAGGTAGGGTAACTGGGAGACTGCGGTGGGGAAAGCGGGAGTAGAAGGAGTCGGACGCGTCAAAAGTGACGTCTGAAGAGTGAAAGAAACGATGGGAAGGAGGGTGGTAAAAGTGCCAGTCAGACGCGTCTAGGCGGAAACCAAGGACGACACAAGGGACGGTGTGGGCAGCGAGCTTGACCGTGCCAGAGGCACGAACGTTAGCAAGGCAGCCCAAGACGTGGAACGTAGACGCGTCACCAGGGGACTCAGTACAGAGGAGGGTTGGCGAAACCTGTGGCCGCTATGAGTGTGGCCGTATGTTAAGCTGGTGAGCGACTTAGGGAAAGGCAAACGGCCACAGAAAATGGGGTGCACCGGCATGGATCATGGTGGTACGAGCCACCTTTATGACCAAACCAATGTGTCACTCAGCGACCCCATTCTATTGTGGGGAGTCCGGCAGGGTGTACGTCTGGGTGAAGCCCTCCGCACGACAGAAATGGCCAAGCCGACCGGAGGCCAACTCGCCACCATGGTCGGAGTGAAGTCGTGGCACATGGAGACCCCCGTAAACTCGGAAGCTACAACCAACGATATGAAAACTTAAGGGGAAACACCGTAGTGTAGTGCGCGTAGTCGTCGACAAGCACTAGGAAGTAGCGCTCTCGACGCGGCCCAGGGACGGGGGATGGGTCCCAAACGTCCAGGTGCAGGGTCTCGAGTGGCGAAGTGGTATGGGGAAGCGAGAAGGAGTGAGGAGCACGGCGCAGCCGGCCCTCGATGCAGGGCGTGCACGGCGGCGCAGGCGAGGGAGGGAGGGCAGGGAGCAACGCGGGGAGACCTAATACAAGACCGTGCTGGGACATGTGACGCAGACGTGGGAGAGCGGGATGACCTAAGTGGTTGTGTCGCAGCAGCGATGGGTGAGTGAGCGACTGACACGAGCAAGCCGCAGCAACATGGGTCGATGCAGGCACCTGGGGGGATGTTCCCACCAGTGTGGATGTAGTATCCAGCATGAACAGGCCAAACACGGGGTCTCGGGGGAACGTGGTGAGGGGGGCACCAGTGGTGGCCTTGGTACAGACAGCGTACAGCTCGTGACCAGGTAACGTAGTGGTGACGCTAAGGTCCTGAAGACAGCTGACACCAACTAGATTTCTGGAGAACGAGGGGATGTGCAAGCCTGTAAGGGAGCTTGAGGGGAAGCGCCGGACAGGAAAGGGTAGGGGAGCTACGTGCAACTACAGGACCTGAGGAGGGGTCAGCAAGCGCGACAGTGGCAGGGGCGGCAAGTGGTGCAAGCGCAATGTGGTCGTGGAAGAAACAGGCAGACGCACCAGAGTCTAGCATGAAGGAAAGAGCAGCAGTAGCGTAAGTCGGTGGAGGAGCTAGCATAGATCCAAGGCTAAACAACGTAAGAGGTCCTACCCCCGACGCAAGGCGGCCACCACCACGAGAGCAGCCAGGCCACCCCGGCGGGAGGCGACCCCACTGCTGTTGCTACTGCCGCTGCTGCTGCTGCGGCTGTGACTGCTGCTGCTGTGGCTGGTACTCCTCCGGGGGATCAGCCCTAGCCCCAGGCCAACCCGACGGGAGGCGACCCCTCTGCTGCCGCTTTTGCGACTTCTACTGATGTGGCTGCTGCTGCGACTTCTGCTGATGCGGATGCTGTTGCTGCTCCAAGGGATCGGCCCGGTACATTCGTCGGGACCGCCGACACTCGCACCACCTCCACTACTACCGCCACTTCCACCACCCCGCCCTCCGCTACACCCCCCCTTGGGGCGGCGACCCGTATCCTGACGAAGCTGCATTGAGGCCGCCGCGGCGGCGGTCTCAGGAGCAGGGGTTGTCTCAGCGACAGCGGGAGAAACGTCAGAGTAAGGGCATTGGAAGGGAGCACAACCCAGGAAGATAGGGACTGGCACAGTACCTCTAGACTGAGCGATAGTGCGCTGGCGGGTCTCTATCGCAGACAGGGTGGTGACAAAGGCAGTAAAGGTGAAGTCACCTGGGTGCTGACTAAGGAAGTGGTCGCGGGCAGTGGCGAGGCAGTCAGGAAGAAGCGTGGCAATGGGGTAAAGGGTAGCGCAAAGGGGAGGAGGGAATGCAGCGAGCTGGGCCTCAGTGCTAGCAGTGCGGTAGCTAGTCTCAAGGGCACGTAGATGAGTGGTAAGATTAGCGACGGTGGGGAAGCACGCAAGATCATGGAAAAGCATGGGCAGGTTCAGACGGCCGGCACAAGCGAGGGCGGGGGCGACACGTAGCCCCCGCCACAGCGGCTGGAAAGGAGCTACGAGCGGGGGCGGGGGCTACGAGCGCGGGGCCAGCGAGCACAGGGCTGGCAAGCGCGGGGGCGACGAGTGCGGGGCCTGCATGCGAAGGGCCGACGAGCGGGGGGGCAGCGAGCTACCGCGGCGAGGGTGACCAAGGGCGGCTAGAGCGGGGCTGGCGCGGACTAGCGGGGCTGGCGCGAACTCGCGGGGCCAGCGTGAAGGGACGGGGCCGGCGCGGACTAGGACTTGCGCGGTCGCGTCTAGGGATAGGGCATGGCGCGGCTAGGGCGACGCGGCACGGCGCGGCGCAGCGCGACTAAGGCTAGGACTAGGGCTAGGGGCGGAAGTGTAACCGGGGAGGGGGGACCTAACCTAGCGTGATACCATCTCATAGTAACGAATGAACTAGAAAGGAGAGTGCAGGGTGGTTATGTGCTAGTGTGTTATACTCTATAAGAGCATGCACATATCTAGCCTATAATAATATATAAATATATGTTTGTCAGATTGCAGGTGGGGGGCGAACCGTGACGATGCCGAGAGTGCACGAAAGGCAGTGCTTCAAGCGCCTTTTCTGCTGGGCTTCGTGGCATTCAGGCGGCTATGCCTTTTGCCCATTATTACTAGTCTAGAAACTGTCGATGGACTTAGAACTTGAGTTTTGAGGGGGGGAGGTGTGTCAAAAGACTAGCTTAGCTAGGAAGCCATAGAATGGCACAAGGTTTAGCTAGGAGCTAGGAGGAGCCATGAGAATGGCGAGAGGTTTTAGGTGCTAGGAAAGTTGAGGAGAGGAAAAGAGAGTTGGATTAGGAAGAGAGAGGAGTACAAGGAGGGGTTTGTACCCTCTACAGAAAAGGTTCAGTAACAACCTACCAAGCCTATATAAATTATAACTTATATAATTTTAACACACCCCCTAGGCTTGGTAGTCACACACCCACACACACCCACACCCCCTAACCTAGCACCCCCATTCCAGCCACAGTGACAGCGACTCTAGGTCGGTCGACCCCACGGCGCGTGAGGCGGCGACGTCGACCGCAGGGGCTGCGGCGGCGACGGCGGCAGCGGCGGCAGTGTCGACAGCGGCGGCGGCGGCGGCGTGCGGCTGCGTGGCCCCGACGCAAGCGGCGACAGCGGCGGCGGCGGCGGCTTCGACAACAGCGGCAGCGGCGGCGGCACCCGCACCTCTGGGTGACGTGGCCTGGCCCCGCGACGGTGGGACGGCCGGCGGGAGTCAGCCGTCGTCTGCGGAATGGAAGAGGGCACAGGGGAAGGAGGGGGGTGGGGGGGGGGGGCGCCACAGGCTGACATGCGGGCGGCCGGTCTAGCGGTGCCACGAGCGTCACGCGGCCGGCTGCAGCCCGACGACGCCGTCATGGAGCGGCGTCGATGCCGCAGCGGGGCGTCGACGCTGCGACGGCAGCACGACGTCGCCGGTACGCCGACTGCGCGCTGTCGCGTAGACGCCGCGGCAGCGTGACGGCGCCGTCACGTCGCGACAGCATCTTGACGCGACGGCGGAGCTGCGGCACGACGGCGCGGCCACAGCAGCTGGGCGCGGGCGCCATGGACGTCGACGGCGGCGCCGCGGCACGACGACGCGGTCACAGCAGCTTGACGCGGCCGCCATGGCAGCGCGAGATAGAGAGAGAAACGAGCACGCAGCGGAAACGCGAGGAGCAGGCCCACACGGAACGAACTGCTCTGATACCATGTCAAAAGACTAGCTTAGCTAGGAAGCCATAGAATGGCACAAGGTTTAGCTAGGAGCTAGGAGGAGCCATGAGAATGGCGAGAGGTTTTGGGTGCTAGGAAAGTTGAGGAGAGGAAAAGAGAGTTGGATTAGGAAGAGAGAGGAGTACAAGGAGGGGTTTGTACCCTCTAGAGAAAAGGTTCAGTAACAATCTACCAAGCCTATATAAATTATAACTTATATAATTTTAACAAGGTGGTCGAGCGTTTGGTGGGTAATTTGTCGCAGAGGTTGGGGGGTGTGTGGGTGGCTGCGCCAATTAGAGGGGGTTGACTCGGATTTTGAAGTGTTGGTCGCCAAAAAGGGTTACCAAGTCAACTTTCCCCGAAAGTAAAAAAAATAGGACTTGACTTTCGGGGTTTTTAAGATCTGCGCTTATATCATTTATGTGAAAATCATATGTGAAAATCATATGTGAAAATCATATGTGAAAATCATATGTGAAAATCATATGTGAAAAAAATAGATATGTATCGAACTTGTGGCATAAAAGTACAATCCAGGCACTATTACATTGTCATTTTACCCCATAAAATATAGCTTTGTACCTTGGCGTTCTCTTTCTGCAACTGGAGAGGGGCTTAAGGAAGCACATTTCATCACCTACTCTTCATCAGAGCCCTTGGTTGCTGGTGGTCTCTGGGCTCCTCCATCGGAATTGCCTTGAATGATTCGATGTCGCCACAAGCCCACCAGAATTCCGGCGCATCTGGCCCGTCCACGTCAGTGGCGAGTGCTGGTCTGGCCGTCGATTTCGCCCCGTTTCGCTTTCCCTTTGTGGTACCCTTGGGTTTCCGCTTAGCAGTCCGAAGATCCCCCCACTGAAGGAAGCCTCGGGAATTCCAGTGTCTTGTCAGATTGATCTCGAGTAGCGGGCAGCTGAAGCAGAACGCAACGATGCGCGAACGGAACCAGCTTGGCTCCCAGCGCGGCGGGGCTGCGTGTGCGTCAGCGGCTCCGCGGATCCTTCAGAGAGGTTCATCAAGCTCTGAGCGCAAGGCTGTGGAAACTGTAGCCTCTGGCACGGCGGTCTCATTTGGCGAAAGCGCCGTCAACCAGTGCCACGCGTTTCCCTTGCAAACGCCTGGCGTCAGTGTTGAAGGCTTATCCAATCCGACTTGCACTGTCCGATCTTCAACGTTAGTGGAGAGATCAGGCAGCTCAGTGAAGCCATCGCCTCTTCCTCCCGTTTTGTATTTCCGATGCTTGTTGGGAATTCCACTTCAGTTCTTCGGGGACTCAGGACAAGTTCGGTTATTTGAGGCTGCAGAGGTTCTCATCCAACGTCATTTCCAAATCCATGTGTTAGCCGCAAAGGTGGCCAGGGAAGACAGGCAGCTACTGCGTTAACTAAGCGTTTGTTCAATGCTAGACTTGATTTCCGATCATCAATTCTTCTCCTGACTGTCGGAATCATAGTTGTTATTGCTGCGGAGTGCTATCAGTCGCTTAGTTCGTTAAACTTTAGTGTTTTTATCGCAGCAGCTATGGCCAACCTGCCTTCGGTGACTCATGGTTCTTCGAGGTTGGGATTCGCAGATGTGTTCTTTTCCCCTCCTTTCCAGTCTCTGCTGGGTATTGCGGGTGAGCAGTTTCAGTTTGCCTGACGGTTTCGGTGAATGTAAATCTAATGTTCGCTTCTTAACTAGGCTAGTGTGTACTCTTCCTCCTAACCTGGTGTTCTCTGCCTCTTGCCTTGCAGGGACTATCACGGGTCTTGCTCTGTATATCGCACCACTGTAAGCAGCCGTTGTGTCTTTTTCGTTATGTGCAATTTTGTAGTTTCTATTGATCAGATTGTGTACTGGTTGATCTTTGGTTTCAGGCCAACATTCATTGACATCTTCAAGAAACGCTCTGCAGACAAACACTCAAGTGCTCCTTATTTATGCGGCCTGCTCAGCTCTTGTGTCTGGACGATCTACGGCTCTCCAGTGGTGGCCAATGCGTTTAGTGTCTTTGCCATAAGCATCTTGGGTTTGTTCTTCAACGGAACTTATTGCTTAATATTTTATCTCTTCTCCACAGAACACAAGGTAATATCTCTGGTTCCATGTCCATTGTGTGATGTATCCGAGTCTTTTAATCTGCCACAAGGATTCACAGCCTTGCATACTAATCGCTTCTGTTTGTTGCACGTGCAGAGCTTTATTGGTGCAGCTTTCATAAGCATTGTGCTAGGTGCTGCCACGATGGCATCAGTAGCTGTGTCAGTCATACCGGCACTTGTTAGACCAATGGTCTTTGGCCTGTCTGGGGACTGCACCAGCACTGCTTCCTTTGCTGCTCCCCTAACGGCAGTGGTAATTGAGCGGCTTCTTTTGTTATCAATTCAGCAAAGTGTTCTTCTGATTTATCGGTACTAACCTGGAACCATGCCCCACTGCAGGCACAAATGGTTCAGACACGAAGTGTCGAATTTTTCCCTATCCAGCTCTGTGCTGTGTCTCTTGTCCATACAATCGTGTGGACGGCTTATGGAGCATCGACATCTGACATTTTTGTGGCGGTAAGCAAGATTTTCCATTATGTCTGCATCTGTCATCTGACATCAGACATCTGACACATGTCTTTCTTTCATTTGTTTGCAGGCGCCAAACTTTCTGGGTCTGCTGTTGTCTTCTGTACAAGTCTTGCTGTACATGCTTTACAGGAGAAGCACACCTAGGCGAATCTCAAGCTTACCCATTCGCACATCTGCTGTGGATGCTGCAGCTGCAGCTGCTACTATTGCGTCATACTCTACCCCACTTATTCCACCTTCAGCGTCCAACCCACCCCCTCCACTCTCCCCGTCTTTGCCTGGGGGACGACCATCCTTTGTCGCCGCAGCTGCAGCGGCGGTTGCAGCTGCCTCTGCTATGGCTTCAGCTGCCTCTGCTGCTGCTGGTGCTCATGCTGGAAGAGGAAGCTTGGCTGGAGGGCGAGGATCTCAGGAGCACAAGGAATTACACGACGGATCAGAAGTTTTGGTGGTTCCAGATGCGTGTATGTCACCAGTCGGTGGAAGTGCTAGGAGGACCGGTTACACGCGGCTATCGAGTAGTGACATGTAGCATGATAGGTGCTCCCTGACCGCAAGCAGAGGCTGTACATATACGTCAAGGCCAGTAGTAAACGTCTACAGAAGTAATGGCATTGGGTTGTAATAAGCTCTTCTATTGAAGCGCAGGTTTGCAAGCACCTTTGGTGATGGCTCACACAAAACCATCAGCTGATGGTTCACCATAAGAAAGCTCTCGAATATCCTATGGTTAGCACCTTCCAATAGTAAAAGAAGAAAGCTCACCAGGGTTTGGCTGGAACACAGGGCATTTTCATCCCCAGCCAGGGTTAGAACTTGAGCCTTTTGCACCAAAGAGAAATGAGGGGGCCGGTCCACTTGAAATGGCTATGGAGATGTGGGATTTGATTGATTCTGGATGGGAGGCAGAAACCTGCAAAGATGGTGGCAGGCACGATGACGACTCTCCCGAATCTTCATTTGCACATGGCAATTGAAACATGGAAGCTGCACCAGATGCTACGATGCCAGAATGAGAGCTGACGAAAGGGCAAAAGCTACCACGGGAGCAGAGACCCTGCAAAACCAAGCAAAGGTTGTGAAAACGCGGGGAGTGGAAAACAGCAGGATAGCCTGCACAAGGCTGACGACGAGGGGAGGAAGCAAAAAGCAGCTGCAGCTTATTTTGCGTTCTTACTCTCGTCAGCAGCTCATCACACTGCTGATGTGGTCCCTCCTCCTTCGTCTGGCTTTTCTGGTTTCCCCCTTCCTCCTTGCTCTGGTGCCTGGCACAACGATCTGCGCCTACATAGGCGTCTGGTACCTCACTTGCCTCTGGTCCATTACAGAATGAAACCGCGGCAGAACGCACAAACATGGAGATAAGCACAGACGCATGAGTTCAAAGGGGTTGAGACAGCGCCTGAGAAGGGGAAAATCAATTGGAGTTCCAGAAACCATGCGGCGCTTACTCTCGAATGTGGCGTACCACTGCGTCCTAATGCGCTGATGTGAAGCGCCCCTGACGTGTCGCCTCCGAGCAGCAGGCGAATCGAGAAACGACTTGTCGCAAAAATCGCAGTAGTACTTTAAAGGCATGGATTAGTCGTAGTACGACGATGTCAACGGAGAACCTAGAGGTAGTGACTCTTATGTCTACTTCTGCGTCGGAAACCAGTCCAGCGGCATGTGTCGAGGAACTGTCGCAAAAATATAACCCGGCAAAAGCAAATGGAAGTTAGGAATTGGTATGAAGTCTTCCTGATAGGTAGTGAAAGTTTGTACAGTGAAGTTGTTGTCATTCTGATGACGAACTCAGGTTTGACACCAGCTGGGGCTTTTTCGTCAAGCACTCTCCCCTCCTGGGGTTGCACAATGTTCCTGTCCGTCCTGAGCCCTGACTGCCCTCTCAACTCCTGGGGAACGCGGTGCAATTGATCTTGCCCAGATGGGTTTGATTATTCGGCTTTCTCGCTCCACAGTGCAGGAGCATATGTGTGACATTGCCCGGCCACTTCCCAGTGCTGGAATGTTTCGACGACCTAATTAGACATTTGGATTGAACCTTATGACTAACGCTGATGTTGTAGCTTCCAAGTTGGACATTGAAGAATAAGGACCCCACTGCTGCAGCCGTATTGAGCGGGCCTGGGCTTGAGATTTCAGGGTCAGAGAAAGTAATGCTCTCACGCTAAACTTTTGCTGTTTTCCGATTGAGTGTCGCTTGTCGTCTCCGCTTAGCTGTTTACTCCCCGTAGGGTTACGACTATTAATAGCGTAGCTTCTTGGTCTCCTTACCCATGTCTACGCACCTTTTCCCTGGCGACACTGGCCAGTCGCCGTTGCAGCTACCGTTGCAGCTGCGACATCAACTTCACCAGCACCAGCAGCATCATCAACATCAGCAGCAGCAACAACAGCAACATCAACTGCTGCAGTTCCACCTGAATCAGCAGCAGCAGCAGCAGCAGCAGCACCATCAGCATCCGCATCAGTTTCAGCCTTTGCAGTCGCCACAGCTTCTACATCACCAGCAGCAGCCGCAATTGCAACAGCAGCAACCGCAATCGCATCAGCAGCAACAGCAACAGTTGCAGCTCCAGCTGCAGCAGCAACAACAACAGCAACAGCAACAGCAACAGCAACAGCAACAGCAACAGCAACAGCAACAGCAACAGCAGCAAGTGCATCAGCAGCAGCAGCAGCAGCAACAACAAGAGGTCTCACCGCTTTCCGCCGCGCTGCAGCTTCTCCGCACGGAGCTCATCCTCGTTACAGCGCAGCGCGACGCCGCGCGCGCGGAGCGCGATGCCGCCGTCGCGCGGCTGCACATAGTCGAAGCGGAGCGCGACGCCGCGGTGGGGGAGCGGGCGGCAGCGGTGGCGACGCGGGACTCGCTTATCCAATGGATGGACGGCATGATAGGCGACGCGCGGAAGCTCGGCCACGTGGCAAGACAGGACGGCCAATGGGGTGGGCCCGGGGAAGGAATGGAAGGGGCGATGATAGTAGCGGGAGGAGAGGGCGAAGACACGGATTCCCGGGCCGGTTACAACTATGGGAGGGGCGGGGGGGACGAAGAGGAGAGTGACGTACCGTTGTCGCACTTCCTGAGGGAGAGGGCGGGCGTGACGCTGAATGGGATGAAGCGGCCGCGAAAGGCGGAGAGGGATCAGGGGAAGGAGGGGCAGGGAGAGCAGGAGGGGGAGGAGGAGCAGCTGGCGTGGCTGCACCGGCAAGTGGTGCTAAAAGGGCTGGAGATTTTCAAACACGAGGGCCAGCAGCAGCAGCAGCAGCAGTCTGCCCAGATGGGTTTCAAGTGGCAAGAAGCAGTGGCTGATGCAGCAACGGGAGAGGCAGCTGAAGCTGCTGCTGCCGCCGCCGCTGCTGCTGCTGCTGGTGGAATGGCCGGTCAGGAGGGTGCAGGTGGGGCGGCAGGAGGGGGTGATGGCGCATGGCAGGCAGGGGCAGCAGCTACAGGGTCTACCCCTGGGGGTGGGAAGAAAGGGGGCAAGAGAGGCGGTGGGAAGGATGGCGGAACGAAAGGCGGAGGAGGGGGGAAGGGCGGGGCTGGGCAGGAGAACAGTGGAGCGGGGACGTCAAATGCTGGCAACCATGCTCTTATGAAGTTCCCCATTCCCTACTGCTCCTGCACGGGCCAGCCTCGGCAGGTGTGTGTTGAACATGCATCCCCCCTCCTCTCTCAAAGTTCCCCATGCCTTCAGTCTACACCTCCCCATGTCCGGTTCCCTCTCTTTGCCCGTCTCGTCATGCCTTTGTACTCCTTCACACCCTCCCACACTTTCCCTCTAGTCGTTCTCAATCACCCCCATCACCTTACCCCCTCCCTGGTTCCCCCTCCCACTTCCTCCCTCTGCCCCCCACCCCCGTCCCCCCCGTCAGGTGCACCGCAACGGCCACTGGGGCTGGCAATCCGCCTGCTGCACCAACTCCCTCTCGCAGTACCCGCTTCCTCCACACCCCACGCGCCGCCACAACCGCATGTGCGGGCGCCGAATGTCCGCCTCTGCGTTCCTCAAGCTCGCGCAGCGGCTTGAGGGAGAGGGCATGGACGTGCGAGCCGTGCCCATCGACCTCTGCCCCTACTGGGGCAAGCACGGGTACAACCAGCCCATTGCGGTCGCCACTCACTCGAATTTTAACGCGCTTGGGTCTGATACTGGGGTTGCGGTGGGCGCTGGCGGGTCTGCTGAAGCCGTGGTTGATGCGGACGATGGTGTGGGAGGTGGTGGGGGGGCTGTTGGGGGTGGTGGTGGGGGGAATGACTGTGGTTTTGCTGCTGGTTTGTCGGGTGGAAGTGGCAGTGGGAATGGGGAGCATGATGAGGGGCGAGATTGTGACTCCACTGACGTTCTCTAAGTTAGTTTTAGCTGAGCTGGTTTCCATGATGCCACCATTGTTGTTGCTAGTATTGCATGCAGTCTAGTCTCATATCGTTCTGCTTCTTTCTAATAAAAGTATCTCTAATATAACTAATATGAACTAGTTTGATGCGATTTTAACTGCCTGCTGTCATTTGTTTTCGTGGGAGGGGTAATCTTTTATTGTTAAGAGTTGAGTTTGATTAAGCCCCATAGACTAGGAAGTTTGATTTCTCCCTACAAGTCGTTTAATACGAGACGGGCGAGAAGATCTGTATCGGGCCCGAGCCCGTTGTCCACCTGCCACCATGGGCTTGTGTGGCTTCATCTGGCTAGATTCTAGGCCCGCCCCCCACGAGCAGCAGATTGGGGATTGAAACAGCAGGCAGGACCAAAACAAAACAGAGCTGTACAGAACACAACACTAGAGAAACTGGATGGGCCACGAAACCCTAGCTTGCTCCATCCACGCAAGCTAGCTTGACCCACCCCACTTTTCCACCCACGTGGATTGGATTATGGAACCCTAGCAAGCATCCCTTCCCGCCAAGCGAACCAACGAGCAGCACATTAGAGCAGGATGCGAACAAGGAAATTCCATGGCGCTTAATCTGGGCGCGAAGCCGCGTAGGCTACATCTGTAACTCCTCCCCCGGAGTCGTTTGTTAGTTCTTTCGTTCGTTTGTTCTTTCGTTTGGTTACACGCACGCGTAGAAGCCTCTTCCCGCAATCAGATCCGCCGTCCCACTGCTCGTGCTCCAAGCCCGACGGCTTGCCGTCTTCTTTCTCGGAGCTCATTTGCTATCTTCTAGTCCATCCTTGCTGCTGACGCTGTTCACCGAACTTCACGCAGACTTCTCCCCACTCTCCTCCCGCACTCCACCCCACACACCTCCCCCTCTCCTCCCCTCCGCGCGCCATGTGCATGGATACCCTAACGCGCGAACCCTCTCCACCCTCACAATCCCTCACCGCCCGCCGATTCATTGTCTCCACCAAGCGCCGCCACAACCAGCCAGCAGCAGCAGGGGTAGCCGCCGCCGCCGCCGTTGCCGCCGCCGTCGCCAGCGGCCCTGCAGGCGCCGCAGTCCCTGCCGCTGTTTCCGCCGCGTGTCTTACGGCGGACGACGCCGCGCAGCCTTCGCCCGCGGGGCTGCTGGGAGCGCGCGGGAGGGATGGCGCAGCGTGGGATGTTGCGGCGGGGGCGGAGCGGAGAGAGCGCAGCGCGGCGGAGCAGCAGTCGGAGCTGTGCCAGTCGCGCGGAACTAACGGCGGAAGGAGCGGCGGAACGAGTTGCGGAAGAAACGGTGATTGGGGCGCGGGAGTCGCGCGGCGGGACGTGGGGCCGGTGCGGGTTCCGCGATGCGAGAATGAGGGCGCGCGGCGGAAGCGGAAGAGGTGAGGGCAGCGCACAGAAGAAGAGGAGGTTTAGCGCGGGGGCACAGAAGTAGAGCGGCGGGGAATGCGGAGCTCGAAAGCGGGGCAGGTTGCATTCGATAGTAGTTGATGGTTACTTGGGAGTGGCTACTGATAGGGGGCTTGACGCAAGTGCTAGAGCTGGAGAAAGGAGACTGTAGGCGCGTATACACTTAGAACAACTGCACAAATCCCCTCCCCTTGAATCATCTCTCTCGTGAAACATAGTTTTTTTTTTTTAATGTAACAACCATTTCCCTTATTGCTTCTCCATCCGTCTAACATTCCTTCCCTCCGCTTTCCTTTTACCCATTCCCCTCCCTGCCGTCTACCCTTACGCAGTATGTACCAATCGGTGCTGACGTCAGCAGTCGTTCGGGATGACTCTGCGTGTCTGACGTCAGCAACGCCACCGCCGCCAGCATTCCTTTCCCCTTCCGCCCTCCCATCCGCTCCTCCCCGCTCCCGTCCTCACCCCTCCCCTCCTCCCCGCTCCCCTCCTCATCGCTCCCCTCCTCACCGCTCCCCCCCTCACCCCTCCGCGCCCCCTCCACCCTCCGCTCCGCATGCGCGCGCGGACTGTGCGTCCACTGCCGTCGCTTTCCGCCGGTCCCTCACTGCCGCATCGGCGCTTCCCTGCGCGTCGCTCTCGCTACAGTCACCCCCGCAAGGCTCCCCCGAGCCCCCGTCAAGCCCCACACGCCCGCGCGCGGGTGCGTCGTTCTCGTCCGCGGACTTAAGCCTTCAACAGCGCTCGCGAGCCCTCTCCGCCGTTCTCGCGCTTCTTCCGCCGCCGCCTCTTGCGCCACGTCTTGCGCCGATTCCGCCGTTCCCCTTTCCGGCGCAGCATCTCCAGCCGCCCTCCGCGGTAGGCATGTTCGAAAACCAGCGCATATCCCCCCTGGCGCACCACATAGCGCAGCAAGTGCCCCAGCCCTTCCACCAGAACCCTTTCCGCCGAACTTCAACTCTCCCCTCGTTCTGGGACGTCCCTCCATTTTCCAAGCGCCAGCGCTTGGGGGTGGCGTGGGGGGGGGGAGGGGGAGGGGCAGGGGGGGCGGAAGCTGAAGGGGGGAGGACGCAGGGGATGTGGGAGTCCGCGGGGGAAGGGCAGGCAGGAGGTATGGGCGGGTTCGGGGAAGGCGAGAGGGAGGAGGGCGGAGGGAGTGCACTGGGGAAACAGCAGGGGCGCACGTGGGGGGATTGTGATGCGGCCAGGGAGAGGGAAGGGGAAGGGGAAGGGGAGGCGGAGGGAGAGGAGGCTAAGGAAGAGGAGGAGGGGGGGAAGGAGGAGGAGCGGATGGAAGGTTGGGGTGATGGAGTTGGGGCTCCCTTGCTTGCGCCTTCAAATGCTGATTCTCGCTCTGCAGCGCCAGCGACAATGGCAGCAGCAGCAGCAGCAGCAGTTTCTCCGGAGGGTGGTGTGGCGATGACAGGCGTGGTGAGTGGCAGCCGCAGATACCGCAGTCGCTGCAGCAGCAGCAGCAGCAGCAGGCGAATGAGGAGTGCCGTGGGCAGCTCGTGCAGCGGCGGCGGTGGGGGCGCCGAGCCAGCAGCAGAGACAACTGCTTATGGCGCGTCAGCAGCTGCAGCAGCAGACGCGCCTGCATCAACGGCAGGGGAACGTACAGCAACAGCAGCAGCAATAGTGGTGGCGGCAGCGACAGTACCAGCGTGGAACCGAGCAGCAGCAGCAGCAGCAGCAGCAGCAGCAGCAGCAGCAGCAGCAGCAGCAGCAGCAGCAGCAGCAGCAGCAGCAGCAGCAGCGGCAGCAGCAGCAGCAGCAGCAGGAGCGGAGAGCACGTGTGGGTCGTGCTGTGGCCGATCCTGCAGTGTCTGCACGGGCAGCTGTGGCGGCGGCAGTGGGCGGAGAGGCTCAAATGAAAGACGAGGAAGGATAGATGCGCCAAGCGAGGGGGATAGCCTGAGTGGCCATGGTAGCAGGCAGGGGCGTGCAGCAGCAGGGGAAGGGGTAAGAGGAGGTGAAGGGAGAGGCAGGCCTGCAGCAGCAGGTGAAGCGGCAGGTGGGAGGGTCGGTGCTGGCAAGGTCCACCTGCACTCCTCCTTGCTCTTTCCGCCCCACCTTGCCGCCTCGCCACCCCATCCTGCTGCCGTGGCTGCTGCGGCGGTAGCAGCAGCACCAGCGGATTCCGTGGAGGGGGTGGGTTGCTGTGTGAGCGTGGGGCAAGGGAGATGTGGGGGAGCGAGTGCAGGTGGGGCTTCTGGAGCAGCAGTGCGTGAAGGCGACGATGGTGGCGACGGCTGGTCGGGAAGGGATGGGTGCGACATCCATGGGCATGGGCATGGGCATGGGGTTGATGAGGGAAACTCCGGTCCTGCAGTGGCTCTTGAGGCTCGGGGAAGTGAGCAGTTAGCAGTGAAGCGAGCGAGGAGGAGAGAGGTGGAGAAGATGCTGTTTATGGAGGAGGAACAAGCGCTAAAGCTGCTGCAAGAGCACCACCGCAGTCTGCAGCAGCAGCAGCAGCAGCAGCAGCAGCAGCAGCAGCAATGTCATTTCAAGTGCAAAATATTGTTCCCACGTTGGCAGCAATTCAAAGGAGGAGCGGAGGAGGAGGAGGAGGAGGATGAAGAGGAGGGTGGGGATGACGACAAGTCTATGGATGACCCTCGGGAATCTCCCAAGTTTGTTCTCTCTTCGGGGCGATCTCTCTCCTCAGGCAAGCCCTCAAATCACTGAACCCGCCATCTCTACTCCTGCCACTGCATGCTGCTGTGTCCCTGGCTGACTCATCATCACACCTCTCGCTCACTATCCTTGCCTCTTCTTTTGCCCCCCGTGCTGTCTTGCAGACTGTCTGATCCGAGCAGCCAAGCCGTTGACCATTGATGGTGAGTTTGAGCAATTCTTCTCCCAGCTGCTGCTCTGATTCCCAGTCCTCCGATCCCTGCTGCTGCTCTGATCCCCACTGCGTCTGCTGCTCTGCCTCTGCTGCTCTGCTCCTCCTCCTACGGCTACTATGGTTTAAGTGACTGAGCTGGTTACAAGTCGCAGTTGCGGCAGGGTATGAGTGAATGTACGATAGGCACCCTACACCACTGCTGAAAGGACAACGTTCTTGAAGAGGTGTAGCGTTGGCACGCGTGTAGTGTGTGTGTGGTGTGTTGTGTGCACGTGCAAGGAGTGTTACATTTCTTGCTTTCTGATTGCAGTTTTGTATATAGGTTTTTGTATACATTGTCAATTTTCGGAAAATTCATCTTCATTCCCCTAATTCCCCTACTTATTGTCGATTAGGCCTGAAGGGTAGACAATAAGGGGAAGAGAAGTTCCTTCGTATAGAGTGAGCATAAACAAGCTGTCCTAATTCGGGAATTGAACGACCTAAAAAGTTTAGCGCTGCATGCTGTAAGCTGTTACTGACTGCCCTAGGTATGGCACAGTCGCACCACGTCTCATCGCCAAGCGAGAATGCAATCCGTGTGAGGCGGCGCCTGCTTGTTACCAGCACCCGCAACACCCCAGGGTAAACCACCTTTTCCAAAACCCCCCCTTTTCCCTCCCCCTTCTTCTTCCCCCCGCTTCCCCCTACCACCCCCGAAAGCAGAGTAAATGCTAGTATTGACAGTAGTAGAAAAGGGCGTTCCAACGCCCTTAGAGGCTCTCCGCAACGCCGTCATAGTCCCCCCCCGCGTCCTCCTCGTCCACGCTCGCCTCCTGGTACTGCTGGTACTCGCTAACCAGATCATTCATGTTACTCTCCGCCTCGGTAAACTCCATCTCGTCCATGCCTTCGCCCGTGTACCAGTGGAGGAAAGCCTTGCGTCGGAACATGGCGGTGAACTGCTCGCTCACGCGCTTGAACATCTCCTGGATGCTCGTGCTGTTGCCGACGAACGTCGACGACATCGCCAGCCCGCGCGGCGGCACGTCGCACACAGACGACTTCACGTTGTGCGGGATCCACTCGACGAAGTAGGACGAATTTTTGTTCTGCACGTTGAGGAGCTGCTCGTCCACCTCCTTAGTGCTCATCTTCCCGCGGAACATCGCCGAGGCCGTTAAGTACCGCCCGTGGCGCGGGTCCGCGGCGCACATCATGTTCTTCGCGTCCCACATCTGCTGCGTCAGCTCGGGCACCGTGAGCGCGCGGTACTGCTGCGAGCCGCGCGACGTGAGCGGCGCGAAGCCGACCATGAAGAAGTGCAGGCGCGGGAAGGGGATGAGGTTGACGGCGAGCTTGCGCAGGTCCGAGTTGAGCTGCCCGGGGAAGCGCAGGCAGCACGTGATGCCGCTCATGGTCGCGGAGATGAGGTGGTTGAGATCGCCGACTGTCGAGGGGATGGGCGCAGAGGGGGGGAGGGGGGGAAAAGAGAGTGGGAAGGAGGAAGGCTTGCTGTTTAGACGGGACAGAATAATAGAAGCGTGGAATTCTCGAGGGTGCGGGGGGGGAAAAGGGGAAAGGGGGAAAAGGGGGAAAAGGGGGAAAGGCGAAAGGGGGAAAAAGGGGGGTGGGAAGGCGAGAGGGAACACACAAGTAGCAGCGCGAAGCCAAGCAACTCACAGCTGGGGTTGGAGAGCTTGAACGTGCGGAAGCTGTTTTTGGGGGGCCTCAAAAATAGACTCGCATGGATTTTTTAGGTGCCTAAAAAATAGTAACTCACAGCTGGGGTTGGAGAGCTTGAGCGTGCGGAAGCAGATGTCATAGAGCGCCTCGTTGTCCAGCACCATGCACTCGTCCGCGTTCTCGACCAGCTGGTGCACGGACAGCGTCGCGTTGTACGGCTCCACCACCGTGTCCGACACCTTGGGCGACGGGAAGACGGAAAACGTCAGCATCATGCGGTCCGGGTACTCCTCGCGGATCTTGGCGATCAGCAGCGTGCCCATGCCCGACCCCGTGCCGCCGCCTAACGAATGGCACACCTGAAAACCTGGAGAGAAAAGGAATTGACGGGGAAAATAACCGTTTGAGAACAGAATCGACGGCGGATAAATGCAAGCAGTTGTGGGGAGGAATCCGAGACGGATGCAGCCGATGAACGGTCAAAGCACGCGGCCAGGAAGTGACGAAGAATTGCGAGCTGGATGTAATGACACCCGCTTTTCCACTGTCGGTCCTTCAGTCCCAATGAGTATTTATCAACCCCTCCCTCCCAATCCGGCGCTCGGCTCCCGCGCGCCGTTTCTCAGTTTGCAGGCAGTCGCTGTTCTTGGCCTCCTTCCGCACCATGTCCATCACCGAGTCGGTCAGCTCTAGTTTTGAGGTGTCTCAAAACTATTACAGCCAAAACCCTCACCTTGAAGGCAGTCGCTGTTCTCCGCCTCCTTCCGCACAACGTCCATCACCGAGTCGATCAGCTCCGCGCCCTCCGTGTAGTGCCCCTTGGCCCAGTTGTTGCCCGCGCCCGTCTGCCCGAACACAAAATTGTCCGGTCGGAAAATCTTTCCGTACGGCCCGGCGCGCACGCTGTCGAGGACACCGGGCTCCAGGTCCTGCGGTGGAGGAAAAAATGCGGAACGACAGAAAAGGACGGATGGGGGGAGGATGTAGGGAGGGGGAAAGGACGGCAATCAGGGGAGGAACGATAGAAGAAGATACGGAGAAGACAAGTCGAGATGAGCCGGAAATGAGGCTCGGCGGAACGCACCAGTAGCACGGCGCGGGGGACGTAGCGGCCGTTGCTGGCCTCGTTATAGTAGACGTTCACGCGCTCCAGCTGCAGCGGCGAGTCGCCATTGTAGATGCCGCTGGCGTCCACGCCGTGCTCGTCGCACACCACCTCCCAGAACTTGGCACCGATCTGGTTACCGCACTGCCCTCCTTGGATGTGAAGAATCTCTCTCATTTCGAGGTGTCGCGCCGGCTAGATGGGGTTTGTAAGATGGACGGGTTGCACTGGCACGTCGTGATTGCGCTGATGTGAAATTTACAGAGTAAAAGGTCGTTTGAGATTGAAGGGTAGGTGAGAGTAGAGTCCTTTTCGACAGGTGTACTAAGAGGTGTAGTTGGGCAGGAAGCAGAATGCTTACAAGACGTTCCTGAGGATCCGCCGCGAATTTATGCGCCGAACGGATTTTGAATGCTGTCTGGGTGGGAGGAGCCTACTCAGCTGGGGTTTGCGTTAGCAAGTTTGCGTGCCAAAGAAGCGGGAGTGAGCGAGAGCGAATCGGGACGGGAACAGCTTGTTTGCCAGGGCAGCGCAAAAAGCGCGGTAATCCGGCTTATTTCGCCACGGCCTGACGCTACCATTTCTTGTCTTCGTGAGGGAACATGCGCTACCTTTGCGACGTTCGTCATGAATCGTCTGTATTCGCGTAAAGTGGTTGGGGGGAAGGACCAGGTGCGGTACGGGAAAGCAGGGCTGGGATGTGACGTGATTTGAATATGCGCTCCGACTGATGGCGCAGCTCGTCGCAGGCAATCTGGCTCATGATGGCAGTTTGATACACCAATCAGCATCGACTTCAAACCTCAAATGCACGCAGCATTGGCTCGCTCGGAACCGCGCTGTTTCGATCCACTCCCGCCAAAATCTGTGCTGGGTGGGGGAACCACCGGCTGAACGTTCCAGAACTATTGTGCTCAAGCTGAAGGTTTCGAGAACTTTTTCCAACGTGGCTTCAGGAACAAGAGCAGTGCAGGTGCAGCTGTAGGTTGTGGAAGAGGTCTGGGCTAGGCTGGGCACGAAAATCACATTTTCACGAGGTTCGTTTCAAAGCATTCCATTCGAGTGTGCATGACTTGTGGCCTACCCAGGAGGGTGGTTTCACTAAAGAAGGGAAATCGAGCCTCATTTGCCTGCCACCGGAATTAACCCTTGGTGGCGAATTCATCAAGTACAATACACTGTACAGTAGTGCATGTAAGAAGGGGGGGCAGGTGAAGAAGGTACAGCAACATCAAGCAAAGGACGAGGTCCCTTCAGCTCAGCCGCCTACGTGACAAACCCCCGAACCTATCACAAACCTCCTTAGCTGGCTCGGAGGAGGAAGTTGTACCATGCCTAGCCTCCCAGAAGCAGTTACGACTGTAGGATGTGTCAAACATATATTCATATGTTGCTATAGGCTACATAGGTGTGTACTCTTAGAGCGTACAATCACTTCGACAAAATCACCATGTATCGACATTCTAATTAACGTTATCTACGCTAAGAGGATGTCCTCGTGCTGTATGTGTGTATTGTAAGGAATTCCCATTCCTCTTGAGTCGTACGCTAGCGCGTACACCCGAACTCCTCGTCTCGTCACGTTCGAACTCATTTGTCGGCCCTGTCGTGGCATTGGGATAGCCCTGTCGAACCTCTTCTCTCTCTAGGGAGGGTACTAGGGAGACTTTCCCTGGGGAAGGTGGATATATGGAGCCTAACTTTCTTGAGGATATCCCTTCTGTTCCTAGTAGTTAGGACTAGTGACTTTATGACTGGCCCAACCCTTTCCCGAGTCGCGTCCGGCACTGACGCCACATTGCTGAACCTACCCACGTTCCGAGGTTATCGCCCCAGCACGCTAACCCCTATGTATCCTCATGCCTTCATTGCAATAGCGACCTTGTATTCTCACGCTATTGTTCATTGACATTTTCTATATCATACTAGCTGGTATCAGATCCCAACCTTTCCAAGAACCTTCCTTTTTCCCATCTACTTAGTTAAGGGTGGTCAGAGGGGATTAGCATGGCTGCTCAGCGGTTGTCTTGGGTCGTAAATATTTTTACGCCAACAACTACAGCGTGTGCGCTAGCTTCTGCCCTGTCATGACTGCCATAGCGCCAGTAGACTCGACAGTTGCGGGACAGTCCACCTCGATTGTTGTGAACCCTGCCCGGGAAACTGTGGACCTGCAAGCATTAATGGAGGAGTTGAAGAATCTGACAAGCGTCGTCAACGAGCTTCGCGACGAAAACCAGCGACTTCTCCAGGCACAGGAGAAGCGTCTAGAGGAGCCAGGCGACGATGCACGAAGCGAGGCGGGTAAGCAGCGACCGTTGCCAGTAGATCTGGCAACACTAGCTGCAACAGCCTCGCGCTCGACAAGTGGCAGCGTAAGATATCAGCAACCCGCTCCTTTCGACCCAGCTAATAGAGGCATGACAGTGCGGCATTGCATATGCATTATGAATATCTATTTTAACGTGTCAGGCATTAGAGACGATCAAAAGCGGATCAACCGCGCGTTAACACAATTGAAAGGGGCCGCCCTATAGTGGTGGAAGGTCATCGTCGACTCAGCGGCAAATCGCACAGAAGGACAGCACGAGTGGTCCGAAGAGAATTCGGCGTCGAAGACGAGGCAAACCTATTGTTCGGAGCGACCCATCTTCGCACGTAGGCAACGTGGTGGGCAGAGCTTTGCAAGCGGTTTGAGCATGCACCTGACTCAAACAAGGCACGCGAATCTCTACACATGTGGAAGCAACTGAGATCTGTGTCTGGGTTATTCGCCTGAAGGATCACGATTGTTTTGGTTTGGGGAGAAGCAGCAAGCTGCATTTGCCCAACTGAAGATCGCCCTCACGTCATCGCCTGTCCTTCGCATCTCCGAGCCTGACCGTCCATACGAAGTCATCACCGACGCTAGTGAAAACCTCATCGGCGCAGTTCTTCTAAACCCTGATTTTGGCGACGGGTTACAGCCAGTTGCCTACGTATCACGGAAGCTGAAGGGCTTAGAGAAGAATTATACAGTACACGACAAGGAAATATTGGCGATCGTCCATGCGTTCAAGACCTGGCGGTGCTACCTGACAGGCGCTGACGTCACCGTGCGAACCGACCACAAGTCCCTCGAGTTCCAGCGCGCCCAGCTGAATCTCAACCCACGACAAATCCGATGGCTCGATCTCCTCAAGTCAAATTTCCACTACACTATCTTCTACAAATGGGGCGCCAACAACATTGCTGATGCCCTGACCCGACCCACTGCCCATACAGTCACCATACTAGTCGCCCAAACCAGCCCACTCCTTACAGGACTATTTACCCATGGCTACAGAGTCGACACCTTCTTCCGCTCCGCCATTCACCAACAGCATACTACCGCTACCAGACATTACTTCACCAAGCGCGGCACTTCCCGCATCTGGGTTCCTGGCTATGATTTTCTTCGTACCCTCTTAATCCATGAATCCCACGACAACCCAACCTCAGGGCATTTAGGAGCCGACAAAACCATGAAGATGTTGCAACGCAACTATTACTGGCAAAACATGGCCGACGACGTGCGCAAGCACGTGTCCTCCTACACTGCCTGCCAAATCATGAAGTCATCTCATCAGCGAGCAACCGGACTCCTACAACCGTTAGATCCGCCTGAGAGACCCTAGCAACACATCACGAGAGACTACGTGACAGGACTGCCGGCCGGCTCCAACGGAAACGACGCCATTCTCGTGGTCGTTGACCGACTTACGAAAATGGCGCACTTCATCGCCTGCCAACATAAAATTACAGCTGAGCAAACTGCCCAATTGTTCATCACCAACGTCATCAGACTGCACGGACTGCCCACCGCCATTATATCAGACCGAGGCCCGAAATTCACATCGAATTTATGGTGCCACCTATACGACCAATTCAGCACCAAACTTCAGTTTTCCTCCGCCTACCACCCATAGACCGACGGGCAGACCGAACGAGTCAACCAACCTATGGAGCAACTCATTCAAACTACCTGTACTGACCCATAGACATGGGAGAAATCCCTTCCGCGACTGGAATTCACGAATAATAACGCGCCTTGCGCAACAACCCATCAATCCCCATTTTTCGAAAATTACGGACAGGACCCCGTGGTACCCTCTACACCCAACATCAAGACACCCGTGCCCCGGTCCCAGCGATCTGCCGAAGATATCCTGGCAGCCCAAGAAAAGGAGCTGAGGCAATCCGAAGAACCAACCTGGTCGTAAGCCGACAAGCCGATCGTCATCGACGTGACGTCACTTACAAAATGGGAGATCTCGTACTCCTCGACACTCGCAATTTGCGTCTGCCGATCCCGAGCAAACTCCGACCCTGATTCTGTGGCCCTTTTCAAGTGACCAATATGGTGACACCTGTCACAGCTCATCTTTGACTCCCGGTTGATTGGCGTCACCACCCGGCTTTCCACGTCTGCCTCCTACGACCCTACGTCCCAAATTCATCGGATTTAGGCGGTCAACGCATCGCCACACAGCTGACGCCCCTGCAAGAACCGACAACCGAGCCTGTGAAGATCCTCGGCCATCGAGTCACAATGCAGCAGAACCGTCGGATGGTGGATTTTGTATTCCGCTGGCGCGATCGGACGTCTGAGGATGACAATCGGGTGCCCCTCGCTGATATAGAATCACACTCGATTCTAACAGCGTATTATCAGCGTCGGAATGTTTCCGATGCCCGCGGCCTCGTTTTGGAGAGGGGGGGGGGGGTGTAAGGAAATTCCATTCCTTACTGAGTCGCACGCTAGCGCGTACACCCAAACTCCTCGACTCGTCACGTCCGACCTCATTTGTCGGCCCAACACTTTCCCGAGTCGCGTCCGGCACTGTCGCCACATGTCGAACCTACCCACGTTTCGAGGTTATCGCCCTAGCACGCCAACCCCTATATAACCTCGTGCCTTCATTGCAATAGCGATCTTGTATTCTCACGATATTATTCATTGACATTTTCTATATCATAACATGTACAGTGCATTGATTTCCAAAAAAATCAGGAGTCGACTAAATCGTCGTAGGGTTGCGGAGCCTTTATTGCACAGTATATGATTATATTATCGTTTGCATGCAGACGATTTTGTGTTTTATTTTAATGAAAAGGAATATTGTTGGTGTACATCACATTCCAGCAATATACATACAATGGTCTACATTGCTTTGTTTTAACACCATTTCACTTTCTTCAAAGATTTTTTACTATTGCCATGCATTTACTATTAGGTGTGCAACTTTCAACTTTTATATTGTGAAATAATGGTTATTGCACAATCAGAAACGGAAATAAAATCCAGGGAATATTTGTTGCATCTTAAGGTGTGGTGTTTCTCATATCATTATTCTTAGTGTGCATATACTTTTATGTTTTCATGTATTCGTCAAGGAAAGCTAGTAAAGAAGGTACTTGAATCGAGAAGAAAAACCCTCAAAATATGACTTTCCGAGTGTCGAACTCGGAAGCTGTCGGGAAATAAAACCTCGATTTATGAGAGTGGCGAAAAAAATATTGTTAACGGATTTTGCTGCGTATCAGTGCCTTCCTAGGGTTTCAATTTCTTTTTCCTTCCTCACGCTTCTCCTTTCCAGTGGCTCTTTATACTCCTATTATAGTCTCCCTCCTAACCTCGTAACCAGGCAAGCCCTAGAGTAGGTTCAGGAGGTCTCGTATCGCGTGGGTCTGTTTGGTCTTGGAAGGTTCAGTAACAACTATCAAGCCTATCATTTATATATAACTTATATAGTCTTGACACACCCCCTAGGCTTGGTAGTCACACACCCACCCAACACCACACATCCCCGACACCCTTACACCCCCATGCTCGTAAGCAGCCGGGCATCTACCCGTCGTGCGTGACGTGGTAACATCCCCACCCGTCGAGAGGCAGCAAAGGCAACGGCCGCGGCTGAGGGCTCTCGGTGGTGTGTCACGGCCCGGAGACGACCGGGTAGGAGTCAGCAGCTGCAACAGGAGCAGGAGGAGATGCAAGGGGAAGGAAGAATGGGGGGGGGGTGGTGGCGAGTCTTCAGCGACGAGCCATAAATGGCGCGGCGCTTACTGGCGGGAGGACGGCGTCCTGAGTGACGCCCGTTGCTGGCGAGCAGGCAGCAGGTCCAGCGGCGCCACAGACGTCGCTCCGCCGGCCGCAGCCCGACGATGCCGTCGGCCGCCCTAGACGCCGCCACAGCGCGACGTCAATGCTGCAGCGGCGAGGCGAACGGGCGACGGCTGCACCATGAGCCCGCGGCGACATCTCGTAACGGCCGTCTCAGCGGCACGAAGACGAGAAGCCGTCGTGGTGGCGCGAAAGCAGAAGGCCGCCACGGCAGCACGATAATAAGTGGCCGCCACAGCGGCAAGGGACTGAATGGCCGCGACGGCGGCACGTACGCCAACGGTGAAGGCACACAGCAGAAGCACGGGGAGCAGGCCCAGAAACGGCCGGCTCTGATACCATCTTAGGATCTCTAATACTTTCGGAAGTCCATGCTCGGCACGACATTTCAGGTTCGAACTACGTTCGAGACCCCGAGCCTACATGCGAGGTCGCATCCGACACTTTCGAGTCCCGATGCGCCCCAAACCACCTTGTTTATGTTTCGTGGCCTTCCTCGAGGCTCTCTTGCTAGGCTAGCTGTGCTTGTATTTAGCCATGTGATTCATTTGTATTCGACTCCTATCTTGAGATCATCATAACAGTTGGTATCAGAGCTACGTTCCTGCACATTTAGGCTTCCATAGTTAGTTTTTAGAGGGACCTCGCCCATTTAGAGCTGTCCAGTGGTCGTGCAGGAACTTCTTCAGTTTCGCCGACTTTGTCGTGTGCGCTCCACGTCTCTAACGATGCACGTGCCCATAGTGTCTTTAGTGGCGTTAGCTAGCTAGGGAATTCATGGTCAATATCCCTCCTCGCCGTAGGACTAGAAATATGACTCCCGAGCAAATAGCTGAGTTGTCAGAGGCGGCAGCAAGCGCATCATTGCTGACAACGAAGATCGGCGAGATGATGGTGAAGATGGAGGCCATGGCCCTCGAGCTCGTTGCGTTGAACGAGGAGAATGTAAGCCTTCACCAGGCGTGTGATGCGATGCGTCAGGAGTTGCCTGTTACCGTGCACAAAGACCTTGCGAGCGTGCATCAACCGTAGGCGACGTCTGCGACACGTAACGACACTTCGAGCGAGTGACGAGCAGTTGTGAAGATCAAACCTGCAATGCCCTCCCCGTTCAACCCACTGGAGAAGCACACCACGCTGAGTGGGTGGCTATTCGTTATACAACTGTTCTTCAATGCCATAGATATCAACGACGATGAGATACGCGTCAAGTTGGCAATGTCTTCATTACGCGGGCCTGCATTAAGTTGGTGGCGACAGTACGTAATGTCACGAGGGACTCTAGCAGATCGGTAATGGGCAATGGACGGGGAGCAACGATTGGCTTTGACTTCTACAGGATCCTTGTTTGGTGTGGCCGAGATCCTTACCTAGCAACAGTGGGGTGCATTGCTTCGCTGCCGCTTCGAGCATGTATCCGCATGCGAAAAAGCTCAAGTGAATTTGCACATGTGGTGTTAAAATGGGTTATGTGCTGGAGTACACGTCATCCTTCCTCACAATCTGCGACAAAATCGACGATCTACACGAGTCGGAAAAACGAGTCGATACATCTTAGGGTTGAAGCAGGAGGTCCAGCGCGAAATTCGCATGCGACGCCTCGCGACATTCTTGGAGTTGTAGTAGGTCGCAGAAGCACGGGACGAGAGCAGTGTATGGCCGAGGATGAATTTCTGGGAGGGGAGTCGTTTTCGAGGGCAAAACATTTACCCATCCATCAACGGCGTGGCGGCACCGTCAGATAGTAGAATTTCTGGCAGGTGTTATAAATGTGGCCAGCCGGGGCACATCTTGCGGGACTGTCCGGAGTTGCAAGAATCGGGAGCTAACGACGGAAGGAAGCCGGGAAATGGACAGCATCAGTAGCAGTCGGGCCCCCTACTGATGAGGCTTCGTCGCCCAAAGATCACCATTCCCACCGAGTAGTTTCTGCCGATCTATGCGATCGACCACACTCGGTTAAAGGGGAGTGAACCTGTTGACTGCCCTATGCTGGTGGAAGGGCGCGTCGGCAATACAAGGTTAAAAATATTTGTGGATGGCAGAGCATCACACAGTCCGTTCGATGTGACAAGAGCAAAGAAGTTGCAGCTGCAAATGGAGCGGTGCATGCCCGAGATTGACTCGCGGTTGGTCGACGGCACGGCACTTGCAATCCGGGAGCGGGTAAAACAAGTTCGAATTGATTGCCACAGCCAAGCCAGTTTCGCCATAATCATGCTGGCAACAACGTTTGGCAGCTGCGATGTGCTCCTGGGGTGCGATTGGCTTCGCACGTACAATCCGAGCATCGATTGGAGGAGTGGCGATATTCGTTTGAAGTGGAGTGGCAAGTGGTGACGACTGACGAAGTGGAAACCAAACGACCCTCA